AAATGTGAACTTTTAGGGTATTTGTTGAAAAAAATTAGAACATTCCTTACAGTGTTTTACAGGAAAATGAAATTCGAGATTTTCAATAGAATTTTCAATTTCAATTTATTGTTTAAAATGATATCTACAAGATTTTTTTTATTTTTTAAAATTATTTATATCCAAAATCTGTGATTTTTTTTTACTATTGTATTTTTCCTTGTTTCGCTAATTATGTAATGTTTTTTTCTAAAAAGGCTTTTCTGTCGCCATATTTGATGGGGCGGGTAATATGTAAGATAAAAAATACGTGAATGAAAATTATAATTGAAACTAACGAAATGTAATTGAAATTAACACCTTTTAATTGTATTTTTTATTATATATTTCAAATCTACATATATTTTAAACTATACAAATACTTTTTGTGAAAGAGTTTTTTTTTTTTTTTTTTTTTTTTTTTTTTTTTCAATTTAAATTAGATCATAAAAAAAAAAAGATTGTCGAAAAATTTAAATTGAAGAATAATCATATAAAAGTAAAATTTTGAAAAGTTAGTCTTGTTTAAATTATGATTTATTTTATGAAATAGAAAGGTAAAACGTATCTACTAATGAAAATATGCAAAATGCAAAACATTTATTAGAGATGAAAGTTAGTCTGATAAACTTCGAAATAAGGCTCGAGGCAAAGTCCTGCCTCCCAATCTTTGCACCAAATTCGCGTTTCTTTGCGTTTTATTTTTTTATTTTATTTTTTTTTTAAACCAGTTTCAGTTTTTTTTTTTAGTCCAAAGGGATTTGAATCCCGAAGGACTATTAGTTTTGTTTTGGCATTTTGCATCGGACTCATAAATGTCGGTTCACTTTTCAAACTGTTGCCACAAAATGTTAGAGTCCTACATTATATTTGAAGAAATTTAATAATGAAAAATCTGCATAAATGTATGTATATTTCTCGTATTGTGATAAAACAACGGTACATAGAGTCATCGAATTTTGAATAACGTAATCCTCCAACGAATATGAGCATGTGGAAGACCCAATTTGAAATTTGAAATTTGTTTTATGATCGATTTCCTATTTTTTAAAAACTTTGACGAATTTTTGATTAACAAACTCAAGGATTTCAAAGCGAGCAATGGCAACGTTGTGCAGAAAAAACATTTTATCTCCAGCGCGTGAGTCTCTGTATCGGAAATTCTAAAGATATGCTCGTTTTAAAACTATTTTGCGATATTGCTGTTGCACTGGATTTTATGGTTTAAGTGCGAGGAACATGATATTTAATAAAGAAAGGTAACACACAAAATGTTAAAAAACGCCCCTTTGGACGTAATTTAAAATCTGAAACATTTCAGATTTTTTTTTTTTTTTTTTTTTTTAAAACAATAAACAGCACATTGTGTACGAGGATCATTCTTGATGGAATTGGGAGGAATATGGCTCGCAAAATGTTGAGCAATTAGTCTTAGGGTATTGAGAATTCAACTATAAATATCTTTGGCGCAAACTGGTGTGAAGCATGCTTGTATATTTCGCAGAAATACGGACAACTAACGCCATCTGTTAACCCAGATCTGAACAAACAATTAAACATCACAGAAAAGCCTAAATAAAAGATTAAGGCACCCAATCGCCAAATTCTGGTGGTGAAGAATTATCGTTCACCGCCTTTTAGTTCGTGCAACTCTGTAAAGTCATTAGGTTATTTTGAAGCAGGAGATATAAAAAATGAGCAACTCCCGCGCCGGGACTCCAACCTGGACTTCTCGAATACACGCCGACTGTGCCGTTATACCACGAAGACATGCTGGAAGGAGGGAGAAAATAACTTATATCTTTAACACTGATTTGCCATTCTCTTTTGCTACAGTCTAAATTGATTTTTCTATAACTATCTTAAAAGTAGTCATGAATTCAGTCGACATCTGTATAATGCCTTACTACTGAAAATCGGAATAGATGCACAATGCATTTCGTGCAGAGATGGATGAAGCAGAGTTCGAGGAAAGCATAGTACCTGTTCTAGAATACATGCGCTCACCGACGATAACTGCATTTAAACGCTTTCCATTGGCGGTGATGTGAGACGGATTCTTTTGTAATTCCTTTGTGAAAATCACAGGAACAAATCATAGATACCATCACATGTCCAGTGCCATAATTAGCAAACAGTCACCAGCGCACTCTTGACGAATCCATGAAGTAGTATCAGACAAATAACAATCGACGCCCACTCCATTAGAATCACTACATTGCGAATTTGCAGACTAGAGGAAGTTGTCTACTAAGCATAAGCCAAAAGGAAGTCCTACCAAGCACAATGCATTCTGTATTAGCTCTGGGCTTAATACAAAGCGCGAATAGCATTTATTTAATAGCGGCGGGAACTGCCAAGAACTTCCACTTTTTACTTCTACGTGTGTTACGTTTAAAACGTTTACGTTTAAACGAATTACTTATAACGAAAACTGGTAAAAAGTAGGTATTCAGACATAATTGGTTTAATATCCGTGAAATCCACTTTTAAGAGATTCATTGAACTTTTGTATGCTGTTCGAAGCTTCTGTTTCGCTCGAGAACCCTTAACCGACTATTCGTTGGGAAACTCAGTAAGAAACTTTTCCGAGAAATGCGTTGCTCCCAGAAATACATAGGAAAACCTCCCAGAAATGCGCTATACAAAAACAGAATCCTCTTCTAATTAGTTTTCCTCTCCTTTTCCACCTGTGCGAAATAGAGTTTCCGGCGCAATTTTGCCCAGCGCCGCAAAATATTGCGACTACATATGCGAAATAGATATCTAAACGCTGCTCAATTTGGCACTTTTCCTATGGGAAAAATGCCCAGTCCGAAACTTTTTTGCCACGGATATTTTTTTCCTTGTCTTCTTATGAGTGTTCCTCAAGCAGCACAGACAGAAAAGCTGGTCATGTCCACGAAATTTTTTTTTTTTTCCATCGGACTCTTTCATGACCTCGTTTATTTTTATTTTTCAAGTTCATGTGGCACAATGTAAATTCCCCTTTATTTAAAAAAGCAGCTGCTCTGTATTCATTTTTTACTTCTTTGTTTGATGTGCAACCTGCCCACATTCTTCCAGTGCTCCAAAGCAGATATTTTAAGGAATTAAAAGCATAAGTTTTATACATTAACTTCAGGTACAAGAGAAGGGCAATATTAGAACAATGAAATGACGAACAGCATTATTAATTCCTTCATAATTACACAGATAGGTTGTTATTGACATTTTTCAGGGGTCACAAGGGAAAACTTTCAAGACCATATAAATAAAATTTTAACCAGCCACGTCCATCCCATCGATAAGTCTGGCATATGTGCCTACTCACTCAGTTTCTTTGGTTTTGTTTTATAAATGCATAGTTCAAATTAGTAATTGTAAATTTTTATCAGTATGAATTACAATAAAACGGAGGGTAAAAATAACACATGCCAATGACCCTATTAATCGTAAAATCTTTCCTGTCCACTTTATGCTTTTGTATTGTATCGCGTTTATATAAAAAATTATAAAATAGCAAAAAAATTATAAAAAAATCAAAATTTCCAAAAAAAATGATTAAAAATCTAAAATTTTACAGCAAAGTTATGTATTCTTAAGTTTTATAAATTCTTGCTATCCCTAAACTTTCTCGAGCCATGTGGCTCCCTCTATTGAGCATCAACTTTACTACTTATGCAATTTTCCTATATCTGCTCGCTTTTATGTAATTCTGATGAGGAGGTACATGATTTTGAACCGTAGGCACTCCGAAATTTTTAATCATTGGCATTGGTAGGGCAAAAATAACAAGGAAATTAAATAAACAAGTCTAACAACAAACAAATTAAAAAAAACAAGATTTTAGCGGTTGCCGAAAGGTTATTTTAAGAGCCTAAAAGGCTGTTTTAAACGAAAAGTTTAATTTAGATTTTTTTACTAAAGATTATCCATAAAGAGGGCCGTAGTGGAAAAGCAAAACTAGATTATTATACTACTTTTAGACTAGCATAGGAACGTTACCTATCTTCTGTACATCTGAAAAGTGAAAAAGATATATAACGTCATTCAATACGATTTTTAAACGAAAAGATTTGAAAATTTAAACGAAATATACCATGAATTAAATACATTTATTTTTAAATCTACCAGTAAAAAATAATATTCTTCAGAACAGCATCTGTTTCTTTTAGATAGCTTAGTTTGTTAATCCATAACAGACAGATTCAGTTTGAATGATCAGTATCTCATATTTTTGCGAATGGCAGCAGACTGGAATGAAAAGTGAAACAAAGCATTTACAGCAGACGATATTTAAACTGAATCAACGCAAAATCATGTTTCGAGACTAATAGCCCTTTTGAAGAAGTTTGCACAAATTTGACATCGTATGTTTACAAAACCTTTTCCATTTTAAGACTGAAAGACATTAATCGTTTGAATCCCGAATGCAGCATTAGTAAGATATAGAACTCTGTTAAATGGTTTAGAACCGAAATATTGTCTGACTAATCTTGAAACAGCAATTAAAAAAAGTATTCTTGAGGGTTACTTCAAAAAGGTTATATTTTATTTTTTCTTGTGAGCTTCTGATATTATTTATATACAAGCACATTTATGTAAATTTTCAAGTGAAATATCGTGAAATGGGAAGGAAAATGTAATGTATTATTTTACAAATATGAAAACTGGTGTTAAAAATTATACTGTATGGATTTGATTCGAGTATTATTCATTAAATCTGAATAGAATTTTAAACATAACAATTGGTTATGTTCTATGCATCTCAAAAGTAAAAAAAAAAAAAAAATGCTTCAAATTTTCTAGTAATCAATTCGTAAATCAGTATATTACTGTATTTAATAATTAAATTAGCAACTGCGAATAAAATTAATATTTTAAAAAACAGAAATTATTTTAAACAGGAAAATAAGAGACTCAAATGAATGTGAGATTATGTGATGTGAATTAAATTTTCATAAACAGTAATTAATCACAAAAGTACTTAACTGACTTACAGCTGTGAAAGTTGTACGATACTTTTCCATTCGTCCATATCGTGAGGATGTTAACAATTCCTTTGTGTTCCTCAATTTCATTCGGCCGTTTGCTTCCAGGTGGCAGCACTATATCGCCTTCTACAATCGGTTTCCCGTCTTCTGTTTCGGTGGGATTTAGTTCGGTGAGAATTTGCTGTAAATGTTGTAAAAATTAGTTTTAAAATTTTTTCAGCGAAAACATAAATCTTTTATTTAGGATATAAAATGTGAAAATACAATTTTTGAGTTTAATATAGCATTTCTAGTCCAAGTAGTATTTCCTTTGTATTTATTTACCCATTTCGGTACTATTCCTTTTTGAGAACCGTAAAAAAGTTGTAGCGAAAATGTATGCGCAAAAGCGCCAAATCTAGCAAACACAACCATTTAACAGCGCGCCAAATCTAGAGTACACGCTGATTTCAAATAGCGTAAGTTTAGATAGTTCTATATTTCTTAAGACGCTATTGAAATATTAGTTTAATTTTTAAATCCTTTTTTGATAACGCTATTTAACAACTTGGAAATTGGCCAGTAGCGAAAAGTCTGCAATAGAATTTTTTTTAAAGAAAAGGCATCATTCATTATAGAAAATTATGTTTGAACAACCAACGAGATAAAATAATGCTTTAGCGATAACTCGGTAGCGAAAATAGGCAATGCAGGAATCCACTCAGTTATGTTTAGCCTTTTTTAATATAAATTATAATAATGATCTGAAATAGTTATTTACTCTTATGCTTCCATTCAGTTATGTTTACCCTTTTTTTATATCAGTTATAATAATAAAAAAGTATTATAAGAACTTAATCTTGTACCTGAATTAAAACGAAATTAATCTTAGTTAATTTACTATTATACTTCCTTTCTTGCATTAGGGTTGCCGCAATTATTTTTGGCAGCAATGGCCTCAACAATAGTTTGTCGATTTTTTACGGTCCTCAAAACGGAATAGTACCAAAATTTCTTGCTATATTTTAACAAATAATGAAGTTTAAGAAGTTTGTCAGATTACATAAATTATAAATCTGTTTTTTTCCGTAAATTCTTTTAAAATCAAAATTCAGTTTATAAATGCAGAAGAAAATTTTAAATAAATATGCATGTCTTACATTTTACGAAGCTTGAGTTTTTGAAAGCAAATATCACTCATACGCATTACCAAACTCGTATTTAGGTGTATTATGTTTATCCTTTAGACGCGATGATTACATTGGGTTACTTTTTGAAGAAATTTTTAATGAATTTTCTTTCAAGAAATTCTAACCTGTTATAGAAACAATAAACACATAAAATGAAATAAAACTCTGACCTGAACCTTCACAACTATGGTAACACTTTAGAAAAAGCCCCAGCGGTTCTCAACCTTTTGACTAACGCGTACTATCTAAACAAAAATTGAGACCTTTAAGAACCTTGAACAAAGCTTATATCGCATAAATTTACGAGTGTTAGAGAAAAAATCAGGATGTTGGGGTTTTATTTTTTGAATTTAATAGTTAAAAATACTTTGCTTCTTTACGTACCACCTATTTTTCTGTTGCCTACCACAGGTGATGATAACTGATGAGAAACTGTTTAAATTAATTTGAATGTAATTATAGCTGTTACTGGGTAAATTACAATCCATTAATTGTTAAAAAATGTTAAATGCCTCGTTACATACCAAATTGATTGTTTGAAAAATTCGTAAATCAGTATTTTCCAGGAAAAAATCTAAGATAAAACATTTTTTTAGTCCAAAGGGGCTTTGTCCCTGAAGGACTGCTGTTTTCGTTTTGCGATTTTGTGTTGAATCACTATAAATGTCCGTTTCGCTTTTCAAACTGTTGCCACCAAATGTTCGCGTCCTGCATTATATTTGAAGAAATTAAATAATGAAAAATCTGCATAAATGTATGTCTATTTCTCGCATTGTGATAAAACAACGGTGCATAGAGCCATCGAATTTTGAATGACGTAATCCTACTGCGAATATGGGCATGTGGAAGCCCAAATTTGAAATTTGGAATTTGTTTTATCATCTATTTCATATTTTGTAAAACTTTAACGAATTTTTGAATAACAAACTCAACGATTTGAAAGCGAGCAATGACAACAGTCTACGGGGGAGGGGAATCTTTTTATTTCCAGCGCGCGGAACTGTGTATCGGAAATTCTAAAGATAGGCTCCTTTTAAATTATTTTGCGACATTGCTGTTGAACTTAATTTTATGGTTTCAGTGGGAAGAATATGATATTTAATAAATAAAGGTAACGTTAAAAAAACGCCCCCTCTGGACGTAATTTAAAATCTAGAACCTTTCAGATTTTTTTTTTTTTTTTTTTTTTTTTTGTACTTATATAAATACGAAGAAAAATTAAATACTAAGGAATTGCCTAAGTTCTTAATTTCGAGTTTCGTTGTAATTTCCGATTTTTAAAAATTTTTATTTTAATTTTCGTTAACTTTCTTCTAACCTTCGATTTACCTGCCCACCAAAAAACATTCCAAATATCTTTCTGGTAAATAAAAATGGAGCCAACTAAAAAATGGCGCTTCACGCATCTGAAGATATGAGTAGGTCTTAATTGTACAGCATAAGAAATGATTAACTGAAAGCTATAAACGCTTATTATATAAAAGTTACATGTGACCATAGAGAGTTACTATTGAAAAGTTAATAATTTATAATAAAATTTTTTAAAATATCTCTAAGATTTCAGATTTGAACGGTTGCCCAAAAGGGTGTGTTAAGGTTTTTCTATGCACTCGCTGAAATCACTAACACACTCACTCCTACTAAACTTTTTTTTTTTTTTATTTTTATTTATTTGTTATTATTATTATTATTATTATTATTATTATTTGTCTTTTTAGCTTTATTATTAAGCACCATTTTTTTTCGCAATTACGCCATATGCAATTCAACAGCAAAATTACAAAAATTTTAAAAGCAGCATAACAGCATACGTTTAGAATTTCCGATGCAACATTAAATATTGCATACATTTTCCTACTTTTTTTTTCAGTCAATTCATCATATCAATGTTCAGTTTCCGTACTAAGATGGCTTTATAAAACTTTTTTTTTTGTCCTTTTATTAGTAACGTTTTGTGTGTTTTACTTTATTTATTAAATATCACGTTATTGGAGTTTATGCCACTTAAAATCCAATTCAACATGAAAATCAAAAAATGATTAAAAACAGCATATCCTAAGAATTTCCCATGGACAGTCAGTCTTACGCGCTGGAGATAAATGTGTTTTATTCCGTATTGTGTTGCCATTGCTTACTTTAAATCTTTGAATCTGTTAATGAAAAATTCGATAAAGTTTTAAAAAATGGGAAATAGATAATGAAACAAATTCAAATTTCGGGCTTCCAGGTGTCCATGCTCGGATGGAGGACTACGTTATTCAAAATTTGATGTCTCTAGGTACCGTTACAGCGCATTTAAATGTTTCGACGCAAAATGCCATTTTAAGACTAATATCGCATTCGGTAATTCGGGACTATCATCTCTTTTGGGCTAAATAAACAGCTTAAAATAGGAACCCTTTATTTTTATCCAGTTTCGATAACGGTGAGCAACAGTTCAAATTTACAAACATACTCTGCTTAATGTTACAAAGAAAAGCAATGGAAAATTTATCAATGACAATATACATTTATTGGTAGACATCAGATATTAATTTATGAAAACGAACAAGTACAGAACTGGTATTCTGTAAACACTGAGGAATTTTAGAGTATCATTTTAAGTTTTCTCAAGATTTCCTGTTAGTATTTTTCTGTTACTTATTTCCCTACCTTAAAAATGTAAAGGTTTCAGATTCTGTTTAACTATACACAACATTTAATGACTCATTTGCCATTGGTTTCTATGATGTTTTATCATATAAATAGATCTACTGAATTTGTTCACTAATTAGTGACTTTAAATAATTTGAGTAGACAAAAATTATATTTCTTCACATTCCAGATATATAAAATGTTTTAAAACCTGTCATTTTTCCGAAAGTGATTAATTTATTGAAGATGATACTTGCAATAGGTGATATCTTTGTTTGTTGCGTTAATTTTTGTTTATGGAAGGATATTATAATTTAAAAAAGAATGCTACTTTATTCGTATTATGCAAAATTAGTTAAATTCTGTTATTTCAGTATCAAGCCTCAGTAATTATAACAGTACACTCTTATAATTATCTGAGACTTGTTATTGAAATAATTGCTTTCTAGAACGTTCTAAACTCATTTATGTTCCAATAACTGCGATGTTGTCAAATTTTCAATTTTTTATAAATATCCAGCTGTAGTAGAATAGAAAAAATAAATGCCTTGTATATCACACGTTCATGTAATTGCATGAATTATTACTTTTACAGATTTTACTGCAATATATTCGAATACTACAATCCTTCAAAGTTATTTCATACGATCAACAAACACTTAAGTTATTATATATCACAAAGGAATTTTGAGCTCTACTTAAGTTTTACAAACTCACCAAACCCTTCGAAGAATAAAGATATTCTTCTTCTAATTCGTCATCATCTTCTTCGTCTCCCTTGACATTCAACTTGAAAGAATTGAGCAAACATAGCAAAGCGACCATTAACAACCACAAGTTATCCATTTTCTGTCCAGATTTCAGCTGCGAACGCAAGCCAACTTTTCTCCCTTACATACGAAAATAGTATGACGTCATTACTAACCCTCATCCATAATATATATTTTTTTGCTGCTTTAATTACTCTCACGCAATTTAATTGAATCTTGATGAATGCCCAGGCATATATAGATGCACGATAAAGGGTTGTTGAGTGTTTGGAAGGGTCTGCTGGTAAGTTTCATGCTGGAAGGTTGAGGTTAATTTATCATCCATTAACATCTCAGAGTTGTTTATTGAGTTAGATAAGTTACTATTACAAATGATTTAAGATTAAGGATAATTCATTGACCATGAATCATGACAATGGAAGGTTAAGAAAGCTGTCAGGAAAATGTGACAAAATTTTCGAAAAGAAATTAATTTTTTCATTAATTTTTCAAAGACATGAATACCAAAAATTTAACGCATATCATAATACCAAAAGATTAAATATCTTCTGTGTCGGAAAACATTTGTAATAGCTTAAGGCTTGCTATTTAAACAGTAAATTCTGTTACGACAATACAAGATATAGTAATTAATCAACAGTGTATCTTGATTTATTACCCAAACGAATGATCGATAATTATTTAATGCGCACGTAGAGAAAATCATGATAATTGCAATGCAATGATTTAAGCCTCATTAATCAATTAGTAGATGCAACTCATCCTATGCAATTTAATTTCAGAAAAAATTCAGAATACAAAAATAAAATAAAATAAATAAAATTTTTAAAAAATCTGAAAGGTTTCAGATTTTAAATTACGTCTAAAGGGACTTTTTTTTAACGTTTTGTGCGTTACCTTTATTTATTAAATATCATGTTCTTTGCACTTAACGTATAAAATTCAGTTCTGTAGCAATGTCGCAAAATAATTTTAAAATGAGCCTATCTTTAGAATTTCCGATACACAAGTGTCGCGACCGATAGAGATAAAAATGTTTTTTTCTTCCGCCGTAGAGTGTTGCCATTGCTCGCTTTTAAATCGTTGAGTTTGCTGCTCAAAAATTCGTTAAAATTTTACAAAATATGAAATCGCTAATAAAACAAATTCCAAATTTTAAATTTGGTCTTCCACATGCTCATATTCGTAGGAGGATTACGTCATTCGAAATTCGATGGCTTTAATGTACCGTTGTTTTATCAGAAGGCGAGAAATACACATACATTTATGCATATTTTTTCATTATTTAATTTCTTCAAATATAATGCAGGACTCTGACATTTGGTGGCGACAGTTTGAAAAGTGAAACGGACATTTATAGTGATTCAACGCAAAATCGCAATAAGAAAACAATAGTCCTTCAGGGACAAAGCCCTTTGGACAAAAAAAGGATGAAAAAACTGAAAGTTTCAGATTTTATATTAAGCACAAACAGGCATTTTTAGTCCAAAGCGGCAATTTGCTCAGAAGGATTGTTAATTTCGTTTTGGCATTTTGCGTTTATTCACTATAAATGCTGGTTCACTTTTCAAATTGTTGCCACCAAATATTAGAGCCTTGTATTTTATATTTAAAGAAATTAAATAATGAAGGATCTACATAAATGTACGCATGTTTCTCGCACTGTGATAAAACAACGGTACCTAGAGCCATCAAATTTTGAATAGCGTACGTTTGAAACCAAATACGGGCATCAGAAACCTAATTTTGGAATTTGTTTTATTATCTATTTCATATTTTATAAAACGTTAGAGATCATTTAAGAATTATTTTGTGATATTGCTGTTGAACTGAATTTTAGGGTTTCAGTGCGAAAAATATGATATTTAATAAATAAAGGTAACACACACACACACACACACACAACAAAAAAAAAAAAAAAAAAAAAAAAAAAACACCCCCTTTGCGTGTAATGTAAAAACTGAAAGGTTTCAGATTTTTGTTTCATTTTATTTATTTATTTATTTTTCATTTGCAGACACTTACACGTTTCGAGAGCACTTGCTAATGCCGCTTTGGACTAAAAATGTTTAAAAACAGCATATCTTTAGAATTGCCGATAAACAGCTTCGCGCGCTAGAGATAAAAATGTTTTATTTCCTACAGAATTGCCACAGCTAGCTTTGATATTGTTGAGTTTTTTAAATAAAAAATTTGTCAAAATTTTACAAAATGTTAAATAGACATGAACACCAAGGTACGGCCCCTGGACTGGAAGGACTTAGCCTCCCTTTCAAGGTTTAAGAACCGCATGTTAACCATGTTTTTTCAGTTCCTCTGTTTTACATGTTCGTAAACAGTCTGAATAAATCACAGATCTTCTTGCACATGGTCAATGAATTTTACTATAAATGTGGCTGTCATTCTATTTGGAGAGAAATAATTCATCAGTTTTTCAGTATAACCCACCAAATATCCAGTACTCTGGAGTATTCTGTGTTTTTTCACTGCACAAAGAGATTTTTGCTTATTTTCCAATATTTTTAACGTGCATGTTATAGTTGTAAAATTATCAACAATTTAAAAGTTGTTTAAGGGCGGCTAAACCTAATTTTTTTTACCATAGCAGCCATATTGGTTTAAATTTGAAAATTAGGAAAACAGTGGATTTGTTGCCAGTCTCTAGAAATTAAGCTTCGATAAAACAAAGATAACGTCTTTTTTATTGCAAATTAAATCATGCTCATCATCCATTCTGGTATTATCATTTAAGCTATTAAATTATGCAATATATTGACTCAGCAAATTAAGTCAGTTTCTATGCCTTCAGTGTCTTTTTCGCGATTGAGACCAAAAGTAAACTTTCAGTTTTGTGCACCGAAAAACTATGCCTTCTTGCCCGGTGGCAGAATTGCTTGTTTTTGAGTAGAAACTCTGATTTTAATTGTAAAAATTGCTCATTAAGTTGTTTTAACTGTATTTCTGTTTTACATTTTTCTATGTTTATCAATTTTTAATAAAGATATTTTGAGGTTTTGTGTATTTGTGCCTTGTCGCGAAGTGAAAACGGAATTAATTGAATGAGAAATATATCTCTAATGAAACTCGAGGAAATAAATTTAAATGAAATGCAAGCAAAAATGCATATAATTTCACATTCCATACAAGAAAGTTATGTGGTGTACACATCAGATTTTTTTTTAAATTTTAGATTAAGGTAAGTTACTTTATAATAAATTCAATGTGTTAGAATTATTTGAAATAAATGCCAGGCTAAAAATTTAATATTTCTCTGTAAATTCTGTTCTTCTATTTCTGTAAATTTTTTATGTACCATACTGAGAATTAGTGCTTGATATGTTTATATCGTAAATCAAAAGTATTTCTGCCAATTCTTTAGACTATTCTGTTCGCTATTATTGTTAATTATTTATGTACAATAGTGAGAATTACTGTTTGATAAGTTTATATCGTAAATTAAATGTTTCTGTAAATTCTTTAGACTATTCTGTTCTTTATTTTTGTAAATAAGAATTATTCTGTAAACCAAAAATAAATAAATAAATTATACTGTTATATATTTCTGTAAATAAGAATTTATTGCTAATATTTTAAAGGAATAATACATGGGAAAATTCAGAATAAATATATATGCCATTAATGTATGAGTCGATTCTCTATTTCTGTAAATTATTTATGTATCATAGTGAGCATTAGTGTTTGATAAGTTTATACAGCAAATCAAAAGTGTTTCTGTAAATTCTTTAGACTAATTTGTTCTCTATTTCTGTAGCTCTCTTTGGAAAATTCTGTTCTGTGTCTATTCTAAGTCTTCAATGGAATGCTTTATAAAAATGTGCGGATTGTTCTATAAAATTATAACATAATACAAAAGATTTAGAAAGAGTGACTAAAACATATACTTCTGAAAAATACTTAATTCTTTTCCTTAATCAAATTCCTTTGTTTAGAGTAGTCTGCGTCTTAAGTTTTTTTACTTAAATTTTATTTGAATTTTGCTTTCGATTTTGCTTTTTTAATTAAAATTATTATTTTCTGGTGGATTTGGGGAAAAAAAAATCATACTCTTTTTTTTTTTTTTTTTTCCAAATTCGACTGAAGTTTCTAGCGTTGTCTTCAGACTTGGCAGCGTAATTAAATTTTACTTGATTAAAGTTTCAGTAGCTTGATTGTTTTTAATGAGACGTATTTAATGATATTTAATTTAATGTCAGCTAGTTCTTTCCCCCTTTTTTCCCTCTCTTTATAGAAACATCTAATGGTTACTACATAAACAAGGTCAATATTTGTGGATATATTTCCCTACCTCAACAGATGACTAATAAATTAAATTCATTCGGTCACGACTAATGTGAAATTGATGGCCCTTCGTGTCCATACTTTAATACACCTGCTCCTTAATACACCTGCTCCGTGAAACATAAGCTAAAAACGCGCAGCCTTATGTTTATCCTGGATATGTGAATGGCAGAACAACTACAGTTTCTTCGATTACGCACAGGCTAAAAAGAGAACCCGCAACTAATAAAGGATTTAAGAGTGTAGCCCACATCTCTGTTGAGGGCATTTTACTGCTAATTGATTCTACATTGGCTTCAGAAACACAGTTTTATATTCTGCGCAGAGTGCAGGGTAATTATCAGCTGACCTTCAATTCTAGAGAACCAATTTTCTAAGGTGGTTTTACTTTTATCTTCATAGCAATTTGCTTTTCTTTCAATGCATTCAGATTTTTGACGTTTATTAAATTTATCATGATAGAGCATTAAAATGATTCTATACAGAAAAATCATATTAAAATACATGTTATAATACATATTATAATATATCCTAATATATAATATATATTATTCTATTATATATTTGGAGGGAGTGCGAAAAACACAAAAAATGGTAGAAAGAAATAACCAATCATGAAACAAAATTAGCTGTTTACTAATTGTTTAAACGACAGTGCGAAATCGAGTTATTCTACTACTTGCGCAATTGCTGCAAAGTAAGTTAATAATAATTTATTTACTAAAGAAATATTGATGATATTATCTCCTGAGATTAATTTTAGTAGAATTATCTTAAAAGAGTGAATCCATAGT